ACAAGTACAATTACACATGCACATACATATACATATATACACACATATGTATACACAAATACTACAACTTTGCTATGAGATTATGATGGTGACAGAAGACAAAGCAAATGCCAGTATATTAAAGTGTATTCTTAACCCTTTAAGTGCTACAGTCAAAATCCAGAGTGGTTGGTACTGTAAGACTTTTCTCTGCTAAGGAAATAGAAATTGCTCTATAGTCATTGGGTAGAGTCAAATAATTTACTAGTGTCATGCAAAACTTAATATGGATATATCATTGCAGCACTCAAAGGTTTTTAAAGAGATCACCTGTTCACAACTTACCCTGTATGCACATTTATTTTCTCTCTTACTTTTTTACTTTGTGCAGATTTCATTGAAATTGATACATGTATTTATTTACTTGTGAAACATTTCTTAGCTTTTATATAATGATAAAAGTTACTTCCCTTTGTCATATACACTATTGTAGTCAATGTAAAGTAATGGATACTATTATCCAGATGATGGTATGGCAAAAATTATAAGATGTAATGTACACACATACTTAACATACAGTACACTGATGTGTGTAGGTCTATGTGTATCACTTGTATTACATCATCCCAAAAGTCTACTACATAGCTTTATTTAGTAGTCCTTAACCTAAATAATTGCTTAAAAATTCTTGAAAATTAATATTTCCAGCTGATATTCATCCAGACTGTAGTATCTTCTAGTGTATCTTTCGAATGATTTTCTTTTATCCATTGAATCTACACCGACATGCCAAAGTTTCTGTAATCTGCCACATGAAAACATTCTCCTGTTTGACAAGGTTCAGATATTTAATTATTTCAATACTTCCATATAATATCATTACTCACATCATATATTCTGCACGGATTCATTTACATAACCAATATAGTGTTCACCCAAGGTATTTGTTCATTGTAAAATCTAGGCATACTCCTGTTAATAGTACATGCTATATAACATTTTATAATCAAAATCCAAAAATTATAATCATAGGCTTGTCATGTTTTTTATTATAGTGTCATTACAGCTCACTTATCTGTCCCCCAACTGCATATTTATTTTCAGATTTGTGATTTCAAACCATTAAAGTTTACAGTAATGATACACTTTCTTCAGTACTTTCTCATTCCAGAGTTATGGAATTACCCCAGAAAATATGTATGGGGGAAGTCATAGCCGGAACTGTTGAGAAATTATGCATAAGAAAGAACTGGTTTACAAGGCAATAAGGTATAGGGGAAAAAAAAATCATAATGCCAAGTAGTACTATATATTATCCTCCATGCCTTTCTCAACATGTTTTTAGGCCTTGAGGTTGTATTAGATTGCATCACACACATCTATATATTATATATAGTTTTTTTTTTTGTGTGTGTGTGTGTGTTTTATATATATATATATATATATATATATATATATATATATATATATATATATATATATATATATATATATGTGTATTATATATATATATATATATATATATATATATATATATATATATATATATGTGTGTGTATTATATATATATATATATATATATATATATATATATATATATATATATATATATATGTATGTATGTATGTATGTATGTATGTGTTTGTTTTATTACATTTGGAGATATTTCCTTCTGCTCTGCCCCAGGTTGAAAATATCTTGTCCTTTCATAGCATTTGTATCAGAATACCGCGTCTCGTTCTCGATGTTACATTTGAACATCTGTGTCTACCGCATAATAAATTTTCGACGTACATAGCAAAATACAAAAGAAACAATAAAAATGTATATAAACATTATTATTATTCTGATCAGAACTGGACGAGTTTTAGAGTTCCTGACACAAATGAGTTCGAAAAGCAGCTTAAACCAATGGTTCAGTTTTAGGTTCGAACCCTCAAATAACAGGCGATTGTTTTGAGTTTAGTTGTTACTATGACACTGTGAGGTACGGTTCGTTATACGCCTTCCCTACGCCACAGGTGAGACTGATTTGATTTGAAAGACAAAATTTGGAGGAAAAAGGTAAATAGTTGCCCTTATAATTTTTTTTTTTCGTGCTGTTTTATTCCTCTACATGTCCTTTCATCAATGTTGCTATTAAGCAAACACGTAGAAAGTTTTCATTTGGCCAAACTCATGCAAATAATCGTGCACACACACTCGTGAGGCAGGCACGCGCGCACCACACGCACGCACACACACACACACACACACACACACACACACACACACACACACACACACACACACACACACACACACACACACACACACACACACACATATTCAGAGGTCTGGTGATGCCAACTCGTTGATTATATGCCTCAGAGACTCAATTATAAGACCTAGTAGTGGTAAATATTATGAGAAAGGGAGATAATTTGAATATGTTAACACAGATGAAACGTAAAACAAACACTATTTGATTTAAATTAGGATTTCAAAATCAATATTTTTTTTCCTTTGACATGACCCCCCCCCCCCCGCTCCTGCTCCCCCCCCCCTCTGCGCGCCACGAAAATATGCATATAAATATACATACATACACAGTGATTACAACAGGGCTGTAATGTGTAAATGGTTTTCATTTAGATCCGGGTTTGCATGTTGAAAAATATCACTCATCATCAGATCTCTGGATAAGCAACTGACTGGGTGAATAGAAGAATCTGGTATTGAATTTATCGATTAATAAGGCCTTCTTATCGGCGGAAAAGACGGCTAATCTTATTGTATCGATAATGAAAAAAAATCTCTATAACCCTTGCTTTAGTTATCTTATCTGGTCCACGTATCTTTTATCTGAGAAGAATGACATATTCCCCATCAATCCCTTGTTCGTTGTTGTCGTCGGGGGGGGGGGGGGGGGTCAAGCCCTGTCGTGGATCTCGGCCCAAATTTTGCAATGGTCTTTTCTTCTTCTTTTTTCCTTTTCCTTCTCTTCATTGCCCCCTTCTTCTGTCCACTTATCTTATTCGGTAACTCATTTTTTTGCATTATGCATTAAGCCTTAGAGATTTCTAATTTCATTTTGCATTCGCGACCCCTTTCTCAGATTTCCGACACATCCGGAATTTTTCGAACTACATATTGTGCTAAGATAAAAAAAAATACACACACAAACAAACACACACACACACACACACACACACACACACACACACACACACTCACACGCATATATATATATATATATATATATATATATATATATATATATGTGTGTGTGTGTGTGTGTGTGTGTGTGTGTGTGTGTGTAAATATATATATGAGATTTATCTCGTAATTTCTTTCCCCAAGACATGGCATCATAGGATCTTTTTTATACAAATGCGCGCGCGCACACACACACACACACACACACACACACACACACACACACACACACACACACACACACACACACACACACACACACACACACACACACACACACACGCATACATATATGTATAGATATACATATATGTATAATTATGTATATATGTATATATACATGTATATTTATGCATTTATATATGTATATACATGCATATATATATGTATATACATGCATATATATATATATATATATATATATATATATATATATATATATATAAGTTTTAGTTCTAATACGGTATGCGTTAAAATAAGACTTCATAGTATTTTCTTGATATGAACTCTCAAACGCCTAGCATATTGGCCTAACCTTCCACATTCCCCAAGGCTTTGCGGCCCAGCGGTTGGGAACCACTGCTGAAGAATAAATGAGTTTACTATCCCTGAGAGGATATTTTTTTCTAGATAACTGAATAACGCGTGATAAAAGGTTCCTCATATTTGAAAAAAAAAAACTAGCGACATATGATATAGGCCTATGTAAAGTTATTTGTTTCCGGTTAACTGGGCAGCCATAAAGAAGACTTTATAAGGTTGTGATTGCTTAGCATGTGTATTTTCAGCATTTGGAAAGTTTTGTAAATTATATAATGGTTTGTTTTAGGTCAGTATGAATCTATCGATACACATTCTATTTGTGAAAAAAATAATACTGATACTATGATATATGTTGATTTTTCCCAGTTTTATTACTTCATCACACTCTTTCAATAAGCACTGGTTTCAGATAAATGCAACACATACCTGTAAAATAGCATTTAGAGCACTTTAAGAAAAAATATATATTAGACGCATATTCCCCGCAATGTCTAGTGATTAATTTCAATAAAAGATCATAATTTTGAGTGCATTGTTGATGCATTGTACAAGGGACTTATATATAGTCAGTGACATCATGTTTATGCAAGGAAGTATTGTGGATGAAAGTAGAGTCAAAATTATAGTTTGGTCTTATTTTTAACAGGATTGCCGGATAGTGGGTTCTGATAATAATTTGAAACCACAAAAATCTGTTCCATAAAATAGCCTAGGAATTGACCAAATGTAGATAATATAGAGAATGTATGGATCCTACTGAAGAAAGCAGTTAGGTGTGAAATATAACACAGGAACAGGCTAAAGTAAGTCTTAGAGAGGTTGCCAAGACGTGTCAGAGCCGCTTAAATAGATCAGTTATAGAAGGGATGGGTTATATGCAAATTATATATTTTTACACGTATGCGGTAGTGTCACAATACGGGGGGGAGAAAAATATAGTAGGATTAATTTGTCCTTGGGTGGAATCTATTTTATTTTTTTATTTATTTTTTTTTTTAATTTTTTTATTCACTAAATGTTTAGTATACAGTTCATATTTTGGATTTTTAAACATTTTAGGCAAAGCATCTACAAATGAAACTGGTTTGCATATAGAAGTTGGGATTTTAAATATTGAATATTTACTATTAAATTTATTGATAAACGGAAAAGACTTTAATACATCTTACAAAGAAAATTCCTTTTATTTAGAATGGGTGAGATTTAGGAAGATGAAATAGCCAGGCAAATGGCTTTGTAAATAGAATTCGAACATAATGCGTGTTTCAACATTCGGCGAAATGGTGAAACTGACCATTTTTTTAATATGCAGTTTTAACAGCGAAACTGCTAATACTATTACTATTATTGATGACAGTGATGAAAATTATGGTGTTCTTGAGGATCATGATGATAGGAATAATAATTACTATAATAAAAACAACGTTGATAATGCTGCTGCTGATGATAATAATATTAATCATAATGATGATTAATATTATAGCAGCAGTAATAATGATGATAACAAAATAATACGGATAGCCTGATATTACTTATGATAGTAAGAATAATGCTAAAAAGGACAAAATTCTTTATATGGGAATCACCTTAACCCCGACCGCAATCCGTGACGTTACTGGCAGTCCATGGAGTTCTTGGGCTTCTCGTCCACCACCAGCTGGAAGATGTCAGGCCGAGCGTAGTGGCCAACGACGTCCATGTCGTAGCGAGCTCGAATGATGTCGTCCAGGTCGATTTCGGCTTTTAGCAGCGCCTCCCTGTCGTACACAGGGCCGGCCAACGCCTCTCCCATCGGCGAGTAAATGACGGACCCGCCTCGGATTATAGGCTTACCCTCCGGCAGCCCCAAAGCTGCACACATCTCTCCCGTGGGGGGAGGCTGGTACTGGCATGCGCTCACCAGGAACATGCGTCCTTCGTAGGATATATGCTTCATGCTCGTTTGCCAGATGTCCCTTTCGTCCACCGTGGGCGCGCACCAGATCTGAATACCTTTGGCGTACATGGCGTAGCGCAGGAGGGGCATGTAGTTCTCCCAGCAGATGGCAGCCCCAGCGAGACCGGCGGGTGTCTTGACGAGGGGCAAAGTGGAGCCGTCGCCGCGGCCCCAGATCAACCGCTCGCTGGCCGTCGGGAGCACTTTCCGGTGCTTCGCGACGACCTCGCCCTGGTCCGAGATGAAGAGGGCGGTGCAGTACAGCGTGGAGCCGCCCCGTTCGACGACGCCCACGACGATGAAGGTCTTCGCTCTCCTCGCCAGCTTGCAGAGAGAGTCCACTTCGGGGCCCGGGATGTCCACCGCCTGCTTCCAATACTTGAGGAATTCGTCTCTGCCCTCAGGCGTCCTGAAGCCCAGCCTCGTGCCGAAAGAAGAACCTTTGGGGTATCCTCCCAGTAGGGCTTCGGGTAAGACCAACAACTTGCAGCCAGTCTCTAGGATTTCAGGTTCATACTTGAGAATGTTTTCAACGGTGGCTGCAGAACCGTCAGGGCTTGTCCCGATCTGCAGGGCGGCAATGACTGTCTTTGGCATTGTTGTGGGGGTTGATTAGTTGCTGAATCAGTCGGTTGTGGATTCGAGATTCCGTAGATGTGGGCGAAGGCGGTGAACGTATCCCCCTTGCTCTCTGTTGTAAACAAAATAAATCTTTGTAACTTAATTGTAGTTGAATGCATATAGCCACTTCATAGCTGGTGAGATGTCTCCACTTGTTAAATTATTGCTTAAATGGTATGGCTAACAGACTTAAATACTGATATTAATAGATTTTTTTTTCTAAACATAACTTACTTTTTTAAAAATAAAGATATGAACATTGCGTCGTAAAGAAAACAAATATGTACTGGTCCTGCTTTTCATAAGTTTGGCGAAAACAGACGGACTTCGGTTACTCACTATAATCCGTTTCTTTATCTTAAGTAAATGAACACAAAGTGAATGTTCTTGCAATAAGATATATAAACTAGTAAGATAATGTGACGTTTCGATTATCTATAATATCCTTCATAGCACATATTAGCCCACACACGAAATACATTTCCGTGAAAGATTACACGATTCATCTACGCAGCATACCTCGGACACGAATAAAGAACGGATTTAGTTAAACCCCATCACACGATTAACACAGGCACTGTAAACAACACACAGCAAGACCTCTGTCCCCAGCAGGCTCCAGCTCCACCACCTCGTCCTCGACCCCGGCGATACGGGGGTCTCTTGGGGGTCACACATCTACCTTCAGTAATAAACTCAAGCTAGGACCCTTTTCATATACCTGCACTAAGGCCCCTCTCTCTCTCGTTGATATTTGGTAGCCAGCGGTGCTCAAGAAACTCTGTCGTTGACAAACACTACTGGCTATTATTACTGGGAAGGCATGACCTTGTAGACGAGGAACGGTTGCCAGTCTGTAAATACGTTCAGGCTTGAGAGACTATATATTATGTGCAAGAAAACACGTGCTTTGGTATTAATTTTATGAATGATATTTATAAATAAGGTAGTTCATTGGTTTTGTCGGTGTTTTTTTTTATTGATAATATAGGTATAGGTCGAGATGGATGGGAATATTGAGATTAATAAATTCTAGAGGAGTTATCTTATCAGGTAAGTTACAATGAAACGGTGTGTTAAAGTTATCAACCCCCCCTCCCCCGCCCCCATCTCTCTCTCTCTCTCTTCCTCCTCCTCCCTTCTTTCTCTCTCTCTCTCTTCCCCCCCCCCTCTCTCTCTCTCTCTCTCTCTCTCTCTATATATATATATATATATATATATATATATATATATCTCTCTCTCTCTCTCTCTCTCTCTCTCTCTCTCTCTCTCTCTCTCTCTCTCTCTCTCTCTCTCTCTCTCTCTCTCTCTCTTCCCCCCTCTCCCCCCTATCTCTCTCTTTCTCCCCCTCCCCCCCTCTCTCCCTCTCCTCTCTTTTCCTTTCTCTCTCACTCTCTTCCCCCCTATCTCTCTCTTTCTCCCCCTCCCCCCTCTCTCCTCTCCTCTCTTTTCCTTTCTCCTTCTCTCTCTTTTCCTCTCTCCTCTCTCTCTTCCTCTCTCCTTCTCTCTCTCTTCCTCTCTCTTTCTTTTTCTCTTCCTCTCTCCTTCTCTCTCTCTTCCTCTCTCCTCTCTCTCTTCCTCTCTCCTTCTCTTCCTATCTCTTCCTCTCTCCTTCTCTCTCTCTTCCTCTCTCCCCTCTCTCTTCTTCTCTCCTTATCTTCCTATCTCTCCCTCTCCTTATACCTCTCTCCCTCTTCTTCTCTCCTTCTCTTCCTTCCTATCTATCCCTCTCCATATCCCTCTCTCTCTATCTATCTCTATCTTCCTCTATCTTCCTCTTTCTCCCTCTCCCTCTTCCTCCCTCTCTCTCTCCCCTCTCCTTCTCTCACTCACTCACCCTTTCTTGCTCTGTTCATCCATGTACATACACCAGCATTGGCACTTTGATGCATATGCAGGTTGTCATGAATATCTCTCAACGCTCGAGCAAGAGAGAGAATAAAGAGATAGAGAAAAGTGTGAAATAAGAGGAGATAACGCAAGAACAGCACGGCTGGTCACACACTTGTGCATCCTACCCTGTGTGACAATCAACCGAATGGCATAAGTGGACAGGAATGAAGGCTCTGCACCTGGGTTCCACTGCTCAGCTAGAACTAGAAAAAAGTGGAACTCACAGACCAGATGACTTGCTAATAGTGGAAGCCCCATTGACGTGGTCCTGGGTCCTGGGCTCTGAGCTTCGCGCTCATCTGAGACTGTGGCCTCTAAGTCATAGGATGCCCCAAAACGGCAGACACACAATTAGATGAAACCCATTAAAAGTGTTGTTATCGTCTGCTCATTCCTCCCTAGGAAGTTATCCTATAGAGTAGCAAAGTCTCTGTAGAAGGAGAATCAAGCCCAGTTGATTGATGTACTTGTGCATTCCCCGCAGATAGCAATATATCTCATTTTCCAGCTGCAGTTAGTCAGGCTACAGCACTCATCGTCCCTTTGTTAGAACCCATGCTGGCCGTGAACTTCAGAGGGTGAATGAAGAGGCCATTTGTACGACAAGCAAAACCATTGGAATTAGTATCCAGTTATACACGATTATAAAAAAAAAAAAAAGAATCAGCTCTTACTTTGGGAAGATTGTTGGCGACGCCGGCCTGCCCCTCACCCCTATTCTCTTTCATTAACCCGTCATCCTGCACGGGATTACTGATAATTGCTTTTCCCTCAGCCACCTGTAAGCAAGGATGCCTATGGTTCTACCTACACTATAGCTGCACTTCTTTGGAACTCACCCTCATGGCCTTCTTTAGACTTTGACCGTGGACAAAGAACTGCCTGTGTGTTCCTGCAGTCAAAAGTGTGCCACATAGCACCTGTTCTTTCTGTCTGCTAGACCGCGTTAGCCACTTCTCGGATCCTGTTATGTGTCTCTGTACATTTCCCCGGGTATGAATTGGAATTCAGGGCAATAGTAGAAGGCCCTGCAAATAGTGTGAACACACACACACACACACACACACACACACACACACACATATATATATATATATATATATATATATATATATATATATATATATATATATATATATATATATATATATGTATATATGTATATATATACATATATATATATATATATATATATATATATATATATATATATATATATATATATATACATATATATATATATATATATATATATATATATATATATATATATATATATATATATATATATACGTGTGTGTGTGTGTATGTGTATGTATGTATATATGTGTGTGTGTGTGTATTTATATATGTATGTGTGTGTGTGTATATATATAATATATCATCTCGCAGAGGACACTGGAAGCCACAGATGCTTGTCAGGACTTGCATCGTTCCCTGGTGCGCAGGATTAGGTCACTGCTGAGAAGGGACACGGAGCAGTTTATCAGGAATCTTGCAAAGGAGGTAGAAAACAATTTCCGAGTAAATGACCTTCGTGCTGCCTACCAAGCCCAGAGAAAGCTGAAGTCTAAGCCCTTCTCGCAGACAACTTCAGTCTGCTCAGCAAGTGGCCAGATAATCTCGGATCCTGTAAGGGCGCGGGTGCGTTGGGGTGAGTATTTTGAGCAGTTTTACTACGTTGATCCACTAACAATTAACTTGGATGCGGGTTGCGTTGAGATTCCTTTGCTAGATCGACCCATCAGCGAGAATCCACCCTCCCTGACTGAAGTATGAGAGGCGATCCCAAGGCTGAAGAGTGGTAGTGCAGTGGATATCTGCGGCATCCCAGCTGAACTGTTAGAGGCTGATGGAGAACCTATGGCAAGGGGCTTGCATGTTGTCTTGTCTGGCATCTGGCAGACTGGTACCACTCCTCTCTGGGCAATATCAAGGTTACGGACCTTTACTTTGCTGATGGTGTTGGTATTCTATCTGAGTCTCTGGAAACCCTAATGGCGGCTCTAAATGCATTTCGCAATGAAGCGAAGCCCCTAGGGCAAGAGGGCCAAGATCCAGTACTTTGGAGGCCTGCCAGGAGATCCCGTTCAGGCGGTACATGCTTGCGGTGAGAACATCGAGGTCAGAGAGTTTTAGGTACCTTGGTAGTGCAGTTCATGACTCCGGGCTGTCAGACCAGAAAGTCAGTAGACAGATTGGTCTGGCAGCAGAGGTCATGAAATCTTTCGACAAGAGTATTTGGAGAAGCCGATACCTGAATAGAAGGACCAAGTTATGTGTCTTGAAGGCCCTGATACTGCCAGTTTTACTATACGGTAGTGAAACCTGGACGCTATCTTATGCTTTGGAATCTCGTCCTGATGCCTTTTGCAAGAGGTCCTTGCGCCGGATCATGGGGTACAGTTGGCGGGACCATGTGTCCAGCCAACAGTTGCACCTTCAGACCGGTACAGGACTTGTTACTTATACAATCTGCGATCGCCAACTCAGGCTATACGGCCACCTGGCTCGTTTCCCATAGGATGATCCTGCCCACCAAGTTGTCTCTGTTTGAGACAGCCCTAGGTGGAGGAGGCCAGAGGACGACCAAGGAAGTCGTGGCCTGGGCAGATCGATCGAACCTATCATGAAGAGCTAGAGATTGGCCGGGCCCATGAGAGTGGAAATGAAGGGTGGATGCACCTCCGCCGGCGTTAGCCCCCCAATGATATCATATAAATATATATATATATATATATATATATATATATATATATATATATATATATATATATATATATATATATATATATATACACACACATACATACATACGCATATATGTATGTATTTGTATGAGTGTGAATGTGTGTGTATATGTATATATATATATATATATATATATATATATATATATATATATATATATATATATATATATATTATATATATACATACATACACATACACATATGTGTATGTATTTATATTAGTGTGTATATGTAAATATATATATATATATATATATATATATATATATATATATATATATATAAATAAGTGATATTATATATATATGCGTGTGTGTGTGTGTGTGTGTGTGTGTGTGTGTGTGTGTGTGTGTGTGTGCGTACATATGCAAATACGCATGTACGTGCGCGCGTGTTACTATGAGAAATTGATTCATAGGTTTTCCTTTTTACGTGTTACTAAAATATAATTGAAATCTATATTTTATCACCAAGTTGCAAGTTACCGAAAAATACGTTTAGAAAACCACAAAAATAGATTGATAAACTAAAAATTCGTATGGATCCTCGACCGTGAATCCGCGAATCCGCTACACAAACGTCAACAAACCCTCGTGGATGTCGGACGTCGGCCACCATGAAGGGGTCAGGCGCTGATTTTGCTCACTCTCAGCTGGAGAAATACGGGTGGAGAGAAGGTAACTACATTCGTATTATTGTGTTTGAATTGCAGATTAAGGAGGCATCGGTTATGGTTGTTTTTGAGTATGTATATGGAGAATAACAATGCAAAATTGACTGCCATTTGGAAGTCCACAATAGACTCAAAATTGTTTTCATTATTGTTTTCCCTTTCAGTCGTATGGGAGTTTGATCGTTGTAGGAGCCTGTGTCTCATGCATGGTTACTTCTAGATTACTGTATTATTTTTCCAATGTCTTATATTATCTTTATTAAGATTCAACTCTTACAACAATATGTATACCGAGGTTCCATCTTGCCAGAATGTAAACTACATTGTGTATGCTTGGTGACCACAAGAGCCCCAAAGGAACGGAGGCCAGAGCATTGCTTGATGCCCCTCCACTGTATACAAGCCAGAAACTAAAGTCTGACCCAGAGTCAATGTAGCCTATTAACCCATTCGCCGCGGTTGGCAAGAATAGATGCCATACCCACTTTGATACACGTTTATTTATTGTATTTACACCTAGATGGCTCTACAAGTTCTTAATCACCAAATAGCCAGTTATCAAGAACTACCTATTTCACCTGTTTAGCCTTTTCCTTCACTTTCGGAAAGGGTTTTTTGTGTCATCTTATTGTCAAAAATAATCTAATGACAATTCAATCATCATAACATCAGTAACAATAATAACAGCATCGAAAGCAATGATATTAATTTTCCCGCCAATTCAATGAATGGGAAAATCAGGGTCGGTAACTAGGGCCTACTGATAGACTCCTTGCCGGCTGAGTACATGTGGAGCCATCTGTAGGTAGCAAAATTCACCAAAACCAACGGGACAGAACATAAATCCGTGGCGAATGGGTTAATGAAATTAAAGCTATACCATTAATAGGACTTAATACTGATAGTGGGTGTTTGTTTCCGAGACTGATGCACACTACAGAGCCGAAGTCCCCAAACCAGGGTATCATGTGAACCCAAAATCCAAACCTAACCTTTCCTACCCTCTGATTATTCCATAGACTGGGGGCAACCTCCCTATGTCCCCCTTTTATTAGGACTTCATACCAACATACAAAAAATGTGACATTAAGACTTCTGACTGTATGGACCAAAGTTTGTGTTGTCTCTGAGTGGTGACATGAAGTGGGTATTTTCATCACTTCACAGTAAATATGAGGTCACAGCAGCTATACCTGTGATGTTTGTGACTAATTTTCTATGCTTTATACGATGGTAGCATCCCATTTCCCTCAATCTCTGTGCATCATGTATGGTAACATTAACCTTGATGATTTTATACATATTGGGCTAGAAGTTATGGTAGATCAACATTTGAAATTAATAAAGGCAAAGAAAACAATGATGGTCAATAATTTGAAACTGTAAAAGTCTGAATAAGTAAAAAAATAATGTAATTAGCATCAATCAGTATTTTACCCACCTGCAGAAAGAGTGTGGATGGGTAAAGGAAGGAAGGGTGCATGCATTACAGCCTTATAATATCACTTATTTTCTTTATTTGTTCTTTATAGGAAAAGGATTAGGGAAAGAAGAGAAGGGAAATACAGAACCATTGAAAGTTAAACTTAAGTTTGACAGTACTGGAATTGGGCATGATGTTGGAGAGGAGTTCAAATTCCACTGGTGGGACCATGTGTTCAACAAAGCTGCTAAGAATATGTCTGTTGATGAAAAGGTAAATTTAAGCCTGTAATTGCTGTGAATATTGGAGTGGTTGTAGTGTTATCTCAGTGACCAAGCATTTCCTTGTTTTCCAGTGTATAAGGTACACCCTTGCTTTTAAAGGGCATTTTTATTTGTTTAGTTACTTGTTAATTAACTTATTAATGTATTTAATTAAAGTAATTTTTGTTGTTGTTGTCAAAAAATGGTTGGAAATGTATTTTTTCATTAAAAGTTAGTAATAAGAAGCAAGTCATAAATCTGTAAATCTGATGGAACTTACAACTTGGAAATAAATTATCTGCCAATATAATTCACTGTATAGGCACAAAATCAAGTATTCAGCCAACTATATTAATGTAAGGTACATGCAATATGCTCATGTCTTCTTCCCTCCCCTTTTCTCTGTGTGTGTGTGGGGGGGGGGGGGGTAAAGGAGAGAGAGAGAGAGAGAGAGAGCAAGAAAAGAGTGTGTGTGAGGGTGGATGTGAGTATATATCCATTTACTAGTGTGTCTATGAACATTAATGCATGTAAGTGTTTTCATCTGAATGCAGTTATTTATACATTTCTTTGTTTTGCTTTAAATAAATATAACCTTTTTACTTACCAGAATGGGTCAGTGGAGATCACCAGGACAGAAGAGCTACAAGTGAGCAAAAAACTATCAGCCAAGATGAATATGTATAATGGCTTTGTTAAGGTAAGATATTTTTTATAATGGTTTATAAGATGCTTTTTTATATAGAATGGTGTGATTCCAGTTATCTTCCTTCATTGAGAGTCATCAAATTTCTGCTTATTGAATTGGAAAGATAGGATTCAAAAAAGGAGTAGGAAAATCTTTGTCTAACTTATTACTGTACAGTTACAAGGTGACCACTTTCTATAAACAGCTAATATACGATAGAAACTTTTTATTACTATTCTATGTCAAGAGATTTTTTTTTATTTTTTACCCATTGATGCTGGGTACGTGGACTGATCACTGTAGTTTAGTTATGTGAATTTTGTTTAGACATAGATGGTTCCACAAGTGCTGAGCCACCAGGGAATCAATTATTAGTGCATTTGTGCCCTCCTCTGATTTCCCCAGTCCCCTTTTTTATGCTGTTATTATTTCTATTGACATTATGATTTTAATCATGTTGAGAAATATCAATACCAATAGAAAATAAAAAGACAAACTTTTGAAAATCAAGATGGTCTCTGAGCATCTCCCACAACCCCAAGTTCACTCTGAAAGTATGATGTCCACTTGTAAACTGTTGATTTCTCTGGGGCACTCTCTCCAGTAACTTGTCCTAACAAAATTTTGATTTACCCTTTTTTCATCTGAGCTTTGTCTTGAATTAGATACTATTCCAAACTATCATCACCACCTTTATAATTGTCCTTTCAACTCATGCTCAGTCAAATTATAACACATCAGTGAGAAAGTGTTTTGCTGCATAAGCCCTAAAATCTGTTCTGATTTTCTCCCCATTTTATGCATTTTCCATAAATCTATTGTGATGTAGCACAGATTTCTTTGGTGGAAATTAATTTAATAAAGCCTGAATGCAAAGCTCAAAGCATTGAATATATGTTAATCTCTATCTTGGGGCCTGAAATGTCTTTTCTTAGTATTGTTTCTATTGCTTAGGAATTCAGTGCATAATAGTGCGAATATTTGTCTCTTGCAGGGAGGGACTCTACATAAATCAGAAATAATGAAGGATTCCGACAGTGATGATTCAGATGACTCTGTAGAACGTGACTTGTCCCACAAACTGACAGATGAGGAGTTGTTTAAGCTCTGTGGAGGTCGTACAGCACACAAGTAAGTTGATATTAGAAGCAATGTGAATGTTTCATCGAGTAAATATGAAAGGTGTTATTAATGCTTCACTGACAGTACAAATGAGTTAATTTTCTTGGTTTATCAGCATTGTTATACTATTTTAGTATATCATGCATAGTATTAGCATTTACATTGAAGGTTCAGATACATTATTCTTGATAATGAGTTACAATGAACAAATCTTTGTGTGGCTGTATATACATTTTTTTTCTTTTCTTTCTTTCTTTCTTTCTTTCTTTCTTTCTTTCTTTCTTTCTTTCCCCAAAGTCATTACATTTATTTTGTTTAACAGGGGAGCACGTCATGGTCTGAGCATGTCAGCCAAACTAGCAAGAGTGCAAGAGCAAGAGCAAAAGCTGATGGAAAAGTGGAAAAGCACAAATGAAGAACCACACCAGACTGCTGCCAGTGAGATGCCAAACAGTCAGGAAGAGAAGAAGAAGAAAAAGAAGAAGAAAAAATCAAAGACGGAGACACAGATGGAAGAATCGCTTGTCACAGAAGAGGTGGAAGCTCCAGTGGAAGATGCATCACTTGTTGCAGTTGGTGAAGGCACAGAAGGGAAAAAGAAGAAAAAGAAAAAGAGCAAAGACAGAGACCCCACAGAAAACGACAGGACGAATGAGACGGCAAGCAGCATGCCGGAAGAGGAAGCCGAGGTGACCCACAAAAGCAAAAAGAAGAAGAAAAAACATGATAAAGATAGACAGAAAGAAGAAAGCCCTCCAGTTGCAGATGACATCACAGAAATTCAGGTGAAAAAGAAGCGCAAAAAATTGAAGTGTGTCCAGAGCGATCCTGAAGAGGAACTCAATTTTTACGAGAAAGAGAATATGGAAGCAGAAGCAAATGGAACTCTTCAAAGCAGTGAAGAAGAAGAAAAAAAGACAAAGAAAAAGAAGAAAAAGAAACATCATGTAGAATTAAGTGAAGACCAAGAATTAAGTAATAGAGAAGAATGTAATGAACCAAAAAAGAAGAAGAGAAAGAAAGAAAGAAATATACAATAAGAACCAAATATAACAAAATTATTGGGCTCCACATTAAAAATGTTTTTATTAAAAAAAAAAATCATTAAGTATTGATTGTATTGCAAAGCACAGATTTCATGAATAACATTAACCATTACCTCTAACCATAATGTATCATTCATTTATCATGCATATACAAGCCTCATCATAGAATAAAATTTAGGTCCACATCAGATTAGAAGTTTTATTGTCGAAGCATAAGTTTATAAATATCCTGCCTTGGCAAGCCTTGATTTTTTTCTTTTTTGGGGTAGTGTTTACCCAAGTATAGATTTGCTGACATCTTAGTTTTTACAGTTTAGGGATTTTTTGTTTGTTTGTTTGTTAGGTATGCTTTGAGCAGACAGGCACAGGTAAAAAAACTTCAGGTAGATGTTAGTTTGCATGGTTTAGTGCTTAAATCCTGTTCACATGTTTGAGCAGTTTGCAAACACAAGTGAGTAAATTGCCGATTGATGCTTTTTGCTTAGGCTGCAGGCAAATCAGTAAAGTGCCCATTCTGGGGCTTAAAGGCCTGTCCACACATCCGGGCATTATGGGCAGATAAACTACATGGTAAACAAGTAGTTTCCTCTGATTTCTCACCTGTGATGTTACTTTAACAGTTCCCCCACGGATCATGCCTACTTGTGTATTATTTATTTATTGAAAATTTGCTATGGTGTTAATGTCTAAGGTCATCAGCAGTGTATTCAAAATATAGTGATGGCGTGAGGCTTAAGGTCAAATCCCCCAGGTAAGGAAGTGCTATATGACAAAAGGTTATATGGCACTATGATAAAGTAGAGTAGAGAAAAGGGTTAGGAATGAGTTAATGATTATTGTAAAGTTACAGGTTGAACAGTACCATTTTCCCTACCATACTACCCTCTAGTAGTGAGGGAAAGGAGTAAGGGAATAGATAATGTTATGATAAAGTATTGTGGTTTAATGATTAGGATATGTGGACAGAACAAAGGGATGAAGAAAAGGAAAAGGAAATGAGAAGAAAAGACCATGCAAAATCAGTAAGGAAGGAAGGAAGGGGCGATCCCCTACACTGGGCCTCAGTCCCTGTTTCCTAAGCCACCCCAAAAGAAGAAGCAAGGGATGGGGGGGGGGGGGAGGGGAGAAGAGAAAGAAAAGGAAAGAAGAAAAGACCATGCAAGAGCTACAGTCAAAGGCAGTGGTGATCCCTTACATTGGGCGTAAGTCTCAGTCTCCTAGGCCCCCTCCCCCCCCCCACAACTCCATTTCATCTACTTGCTCAATGCCCTTAACTCCCCTGTATAACAAGTACCTACTTTACTCCATTTGCTCTCCCATTTTCACTATTATACTCTCCTAAACCACTCTACAATCTTTGACATAAAACATTATCATAATTGTACTTATATTTACTCTTTTCACCACATTACTTTAACAGTGCTTTGATGGCCTTTGATGTCTAGTACATTAGTTTGTTTTCACTTAACCCTCATACCCTTTCATGCACCCCCCCTTTGCTTCTGCCTAGCTTTATTAATATTTAAAAATTTTGGTCACACTAACATGCAAAGTCATTAGCAGCTTGTTCCAATTCCTAACCATTTTTGTTACTATACTTTACCATAGTGCTATACGACCTTGATGTCTGGCATTTACTTGTCATAACTATTAGTCATTAACCATTAAAACATGGCAATAGGGTAGGGATTTTTTTGGGTTCACAACGCAAGGTTTGTGGATATCTAGAATGGTCATTGGTCAAAAAAAAAATGGTTCAGACAAAGGTCACATGGCATTATGACAAGTATTGTGATGAAGCGGGTAAAAGGAAAAAGAAAAAGGAAAGTAAAGCCCATACAAAATTAGTTTAGGCAAGGCCAAGGTCCAAGGCAGAGGCGATCCCTACATTGGGTGTCAGTCTGCCTCTTAAGCCCCTCCATGGCAACAACGAGCAAGGAAGTGGGGGGGGGGGGATATTTTATTAATGCTTCCTACTCCCCTAACTTTCCCCCTCTAATAACCTTTACTTTATACCTTATCAGCTCCCTCTACCCTTTTCACTTCCATACTACCTTTTAGTACTGTTCAACCTGTATCTGTACTTTATCATTAACTCATTCTTAACCCCATTTCACTATACTTTACCATAGTGCCATATGATATTGAGGTCATATAGCACTTCCTTAATTGGGTGCTTTGCCCCCAAGTCTCAAGCTATTGATATATTGTGAATAGGCTGCTAATGGCTTTATATGTCGATGCAGCAGAAATCTAACAAGGAGGCTCATCTCTGCCTCCCAAGCCCACCCCCACCCCATAGCAATTTAAAAAGGCGAGGTTTTATAGTGCATGGACTGGGCAGCTTAGGAGGCGAGTTTTACACCTTTCCTTTTCTAGAAAGGTTGTATATTGTAGATGCCTGTCTACACAAATTGAGTTTGCAAAGGAGTGACCCAAATTACTTGTGCACACTTTTACACAGGTCCACATGGCATGGGGGTTATTAGATTTACCAAGGATCCCAGCCACCTAAGAGGTGCCCATTATCAGGTATTCAGGCATTAACTTGGGATTGTAGGACAGTTTATCATAGAGTGCCACTACCCCTTTGGTTTTCCCGGTTTGATTATACTATGCCCACCCTGTACAAAGACCACCCACGTGTAGGCATAATGGGCACAATGCAGAATGGGGACAGAGCAACATCACAAGCGATGAAATTGCAAAAGAGTCATCTGCTCGACATCACTTATTTTTAATTCCCTTGTACTAAAGGATCAGATTTTGTACAAAAAAAAAAATTCAGATGGCTTCACTACCCAGTATTCCCCCCCCCCCCCACCATACAAGACTCCATACAAGACTTAAATCCCATTTACGTAAAGTCTTAATGCATCCACATGCACCTGGAAATTCTAAAGTTTCCTCTTACCAGTGGGAACTAGTACTTTAATGATTAGCAAGAAAATTTACATTGAGACCAACTCATTAATTATGGAAAGTTATGGGCCTTCTGGCAACCCAAATGTGAGAATCCCTGAACTTGCCTATCCACATGGAAACTTCAGTCCAACTAGAATTCAGAAACAGGAAAGGTTTCAAAAGGTTAACAAAAAGTGGGCGAAGGTTATCAATAGCTTTATTTTTTCAAAACTGCATTTGAAGTCTAGTTCAGAAGAGCTCAAGATGATCCCTCCAACATCTGTAGACAAAAGAGACAAGTTAAAAAACTTTCCATAATCTTGTGACATTTCATTTATCCAATGCTCAAAGTTTGAAGGTTTGAGCAAATGACTATTTTACAAAGTTATGTTGGGAAATTACTAGTTGCATCCAATCACAAGATCAGTAACTAATAACCTCAACGTTATTCTATGCACGAGAAACGCCTAGCTTGCCAAAGGGGACAAACTGGAGCTGGTGTGCAAGACAGTAAGCCATGTAAATTATTTAACCCACTGTTGGTAATGGCAGAACAGCAGTTGCATGGGTTTGGTCAAGGCAAGGCAACTGAAGCCTAAAAGGAATATTAAATATTTTAACTTCTTGGTACAAATTGGTTGAAGCATTTTGAACAACTGTTTAACCCAGGTTACTTCCCAGCCATCACTATACACACCTTAAACAAGTAATGTCAATATAGTTTTAACTTACCTCATGCAAGTTTGAGCTTTCTCCTCTCCATGATCTGTTCACTTCAGGCCTACTTAAAGTAGGGTGGTCCTT